TATAATTAATTAATAATTAAGTATGAATAATCATAAGTAATTATTAATTAAGATTAAAAATATAATGAAATATAATTAATTAAATTAATCATAATTAGTAATTAATTATAATTATTTATAATTAATTAACAATAATTAACTATGAATAATCATAGATAATTACTTAATTAAGATTAGAAGTAATTAAATATAATCAATTAAATTTAATCAAAATCACTAATTAATTATAATTATTGGTAATTAATAATACTTAATTATAAATAATCATAATTAATCAAACATGATTAATTAAGACTAATGAAAGATTAGAGCCAAATTTTGAGAGGATTTAGCATACATCCTCTACTTCCTCTCGGTTTTCACAGGATGAAGCCGAGGAAGCGCGCCTAAGGGAGGAAGTTACCTTCTCAGCTAACGAGCTCTGTAGTTACTTCCGATCAAAATGCGACAACTACCGAACCGACAGGAAGAGAATGTCAGATGAGGAGGTAGAGTCGGGCCAAGGCAGTGGAATCGGAGGCCACTCTCGGTGCTGGCGACGGGTAAGGAGGAGAGGGTGTTGTCTCGGTCGAGTTCAGAAGGATGAGGCTCGACCTCTTGCGGCTAGGGGTTCGGCCAGATGAGAACTGAGACAGGAGGAGTCCGGCGGGATAGGTAGATCGGGAGCAGCTCGTGGATTCCGACTTCTATTGGTTATAGATGGAGCCTCTCTCTCTCACTCTCTCTCTCTGTGAACCGAAAGGAGGATCGGGATGGAGACAAGGGTCGTGGGAGAGAGCTCGGTCGAAAGCAGAGGAGGGATTTCGGAGCAGTAACGAGGAAGAGAGGAGGGGACGGAAGTTCGGTCGTGTGGAAGCAGCAGCCGAATGATCCCCTTTGAGTCGGTATTTAACGACGCGAGAAGGAGCGAAATCGAGGCCGTCGTCGTAGGTTTTACGCAGGAATTCCGGGAAGTGATGCAAACGGCGCCGATTCGGCAGGATTCATTGCGGGATTTCTGCAGTATTTGCGTAGGTATGGATTTGAGCGTGTATTTTCATTTCTTCCTTTTTTTTTGTTTTGATTTCATAATGAGGTCAACAGCAGAATGTGGGACGGGGCGTGCACGGTTGTAGGATGATTGTGGATTGAGTGGTCGGGCAAGGGATCATGCCATTGGAGTAGAAGTTGGAACAGAGGGGATTTGCTGATGACGGAGGGTTGATTGTGGATATGGTTGCATTCACGTAAAGCATTGGCGAGGGGCCGCTGGTTGGGCGGGGATCGCATCATCAGAGTGGAAGTTGGAGCGGTAGAAGAGTTGGGGGTGGAATCTTGCTGAAGCTGGGCCGATTGTGTGGAGAGGAGCAAAGGCACCAGTATAATTTCCGCCGTTCTTCGTATTCTCTCCAAGGAACGACCAATATTATCCCATAAATCATTTATTTGATCAAGTGATGTAATCACTTGAACTGCTCGAAAGGATTGATGACTTCAATCATTATCGACAACCCACCTTCTTCGATGTCGACAACCAATCTTCTTCAGCTTCAATCGTCGTCAACAAACCATCTTCTTCTACACTCCGTCATTTTTCACAAGCCCCAGGCTCTGATACCTACTGATGTAGTGGATCAGCAGAATAAATGGATATGTTAGAAGAAATACCAAATAGGAAACCAAATACCAAGTTTTTAAAGCTTCAAAATAGATATAATATTCATCATCTCCTTTTCCCCTTACAATGCCTATATATAATAAGCTAAGAAGTTTCTAAAAACTAAGAAGGTAAGCTATTCCTAAGGGAAGCTAGTCCTAAGAGTTTATTTAGCTAATGATGTACCGCATCAACTTTGCTGCTATAAATGAGGTATTCTGGTAGATTATGATCATATCGAGAACATGAAGTTAAAAGATTTAAAATTTGGTCGCTACTTTATTTTGAGTATACATTGCTGCAGGAAAAATGCAATTCCTATTTACTTAATACAAGGTTCCAAATGTTTGTTAGCCGCTTATGACAACAGATTATAAGTGCCTTCACTCAAAAAAAGATGAGCACTCCAATTAGATGTAGTAATTTTTTCTGGATCATAGTTGGCTCCAAATAGTTGGGCTAAGGCTAATGATGGTGACAAGATTGAATAGTGGTTCATTATGTTTTCTTTCTAGTTTAAATCATTAAAACAGAGATGCATCTATGATGCTATCATGACTAGCATCAACTGATCTTTTTGTATTGCTTTTGGGGCTTCACATTTCATAAATTTAATTTTTGGTTGGCTTAGCTACATGTTAAGACACATGAGAATTTTGGATTTAATGGCACATTAGAATTTTGAAAATATGGCTTTAGGAATACCAAGTGGCTTTTCCTTATCCATAGTCTTATGCTTTTTGAGTTAAACAAAAAGGTTTGGCTATCGGTTTATTCGGCCCTCCCCGGTTGGTTCTTCAAACCCTAACAAGTTTTTTTAGAGCTGATGGTTCAACTTGAATTTAGTTCTTCATGCGATTTATAATATAGGTCTTGTCCTCTTCTACTAGGTTTTAGTAAAGTTCAATAGCTGGTGACTACCATGACTGATCGATGTGGTTTAGTGGACTCTTGGTGTTGTGAAACGATGGGAGTTACTTAAGAAATTAAAGAGAGCAATTTAACAAAGTATTCCCAAAATAAAGTTATTACTTATAACACGGAATGATCCTCGGATTTCTTAGTCTTTAACTTGCTTAGGCAAAGAAGAGCGAAGTTGATTAACCAAACAATTCAAGAAAATGCAAAGAGTAATTGTAAAGCTACGACGGTAAACAAGAATCCATGATTTAATAAGGGGAGCTTTCACCTTTGGAGCCCATACGCTCAAATAGTCTAGGCTTTAGTGGAAGAAGAGTCTCCACATTAGAATCGAGGTCACTCCGAGGAAGAAGGAACCTAGGATCGTCGTTCTTGGAAAGGTGGCCGGAGTGGTGGAGGATGATGGTCGTCCAATGATGATCCAACGTCCCTTTGACCTTTGCTCGTCGATCACGTCAACTAAGGTGTATTGGATACGGTCGATGTATTCTTCAACGGTGTCGTCGAAATCAAAGCCCACGTCAAAGAATGGTGATTGGAGGATGTCGACTTGATCTCGATCGTCATGCACAAATCCAAAGTTCCATTCGGGTTCCGCCATACATGATGAATTGAGAGGGGGGTGGGGGTGGGGAAGGAGGGGCGGCTAGGAGAGGTGGAGAGGAGGCTAGGGTTTTGTTAGAAGTTAGGTTAGGATGGGGTGATGAGGTTTAATCAAAATTCTGAAATTAAGAACAAATTTGAATAAATTGGGAGGGATAACTTTTGAAGTTTGAATCCAAATTGAATGCAATTAAGGCATTAATGGAGGCTTAATGGGGTGGAGCCAAAGAGGGACTGGTGGTATGGAGAGAGATGGGTGAGGGTTTCAAAATTGAAATTAATTTCAGTTTTAATGAGATTGGGGGGAATAATATTTGAAATCAAATTTTGGATTTCAAATAAGGGGGAGGAGCATTGAATGAGCATTCAATGGGAAACCCCATTAAGGGGTCGGCGCCATCAAGGAGGTGGGAGGGGATTGGGGAGGAGGAGAGGAGGTTTCCAAATAGGTAAGAATGACTAGGAAAGAAAAATAATTAAATCCAATTTGATTTGATTTAAAATTGGATTCATCATTAAAACTTTCCTAATTTGGAATTCCCAATTTGGAAAGAATTTGAAATTTGAAATTTGAATTTCAATATGGGGGCTATGGGGGAGAAGGGCCGGTGAGTGGGAAGGTGGCTGACGGGTGGGAAAGTGGCCGACGGTTGTGAGCCCAAGGGGGCCGGCGGCAAGGGGGGGAGGGGCTCGGGTTCTTCCAAGGAATTCGGTGGGGAAGGATTTCTTGATGGAGAGGATCAAAGGAGGAGGTGTATGTGAAAATAAAACCACTAACCTCAACACCACATCCACTAGAACTCACAAAGAGATCTAAAGCTTTCTCCTCATGAACTCACAAAGAGATCTAGAGGAGTTTTGGAACTTACAAAGAGATCACCAAGATAATTTTTCATTCATCCAATCATCCCCTCATACATAAGAAGATAGCCATATATATAGGCCTCAAAATGACAAATAAAACAAAAGACTAGAATACCCCTTGGGCTACAAAAGCGACCAACTACCCATAAGGGCAAAAACGGAAAAACTGAAATAAAATGATTAATACATAAAATGCTAATACAGAACATGCATCAAAAGTAAAGACTCGCCATCATAGCCATCGATCTCCTGTGTAGCCTCTGATAAACGCGTCGAAACCTCTTGTCGATGTCCCCATCACTTGGTGCTTCCTATTTGATAGTGTTAAAAAGGGCTTCCATTGCATGAGTGATGGCTGATGTAAAAAGCTTTCAATTAAGAGGGGTATTGTTAAGGCATAAGAGAGTCTTGGGCTCAGTCCCACATTGAATGGTTTTAAAATTTAGGTAAAATGTCAAGTGGTTGGGCCTTACCAATAGACTTAAGCTTTTGGGTTTAAAAAGGACTTATTAGTTTATTTTGCCTAACTTTAGCTCCCATTTGGTTTCTCACTCCCTAACAGTTCCGCCTTGATTCCTCACTTCTTAACACTAAATGCACCTATTTGATAAATGGCTAAGTAACACTTCCACCCATGTAGTTTTCTTCATATGAGATAAAAGGGGAAAATGAGGAATTAAGCCCATTGTATAAATTACATTTTTGCACTCTTAAATTTTCTATACTTAGGACATCAAATTGAAATCATGAGAAAATTTCTAGTAATTATGGCATTAATACATTAGTTTTTTTTTCAAATGTCATAAAAATGTCAACAAAGATGAATTGAATTAATATGATATTTTATGTGGTATGAATTTCATTCTTTGGTTTCTTTTTGGTAGTGTTCATCGTTAAGCTTACATATGGCGCCTATAATTGCAACGTTAATTTTACTAGAGATCAAATAGATGACACTTTTAATTCTTCTTTGCAGGCATTCTTGCTGATCTTTTTCTCTGAGCTAGGTGACAAAACCTTTTTTATTGCTGTAAGAATACACTTTATTGTTGTCTTACTTTCAAGAATTTGGCAAAATTTATCATTGACGAGTTGTGGCAAAATAACATAATCTTTTTGCTAAGAGTTGCACCTTCTTAGCCCTATGCACTTTGTGAATACAGCAAATGAAAACTTGTGTTCTTGCGTCTGCTTTGCATTTCTTTTTCTTGGTGGTGATTATTAACGAAAGTGCAAAATATGTTATGAACTAAGCGCCATTGTAATTGCTAAGTTGCAAATTAAAAACAGTATAAATGAAGGAAAAACAGAGGTTTTCAGCAATATTAAAAAGATACAAGTGCAAAAAATATGCAGGAAATGCTCATAATTCTGTGTTTTTTCCCCATAAACTTTAACTAGGTCATCTAAACAATACAAATAGTGACATGCTATTCCATATCCTAGAATGTCGTTGGATCTGACAAGTAGGATAGAAAAATAACTAGATATTCAAAAGAAGGGTAAATTTTATGAAATTTTCACTAAAAAAGGTGGTGGAATCTCATCCGTGACATGAGAGAAGCAAAGTCTGAGCCATCAATTCGACGTAATAATTGATGCTAACTCTTAAATGGAGTTTTGAGTTTTGCTTGTTACAAAATCCTCACAATTCCAAAAGGTAGGAATCAAAGAGCAAGAAATGTACGCAAATGAGAATCAACAAATTTAAAAGAAAGAGTAAAATACAAGTTCAGATAGATGGTCTTACCTAGGGGTGTAAATGAGTCGAGTTGAGTATTTTCCTTATTAAGTCAGGCTCGTTTAACCTTTAATTAACTCGAACTCGAGCTCGACTCGTTCAGAAAATATTAAGCTCAAGCTTGGCTCGAAAGCTCGAGTTCATTTGGAAAGCTCGGGCTCGACTCGTTTGATTGGCCCGATTCTTTAATTGTAAAACAAAATTTTTATTTTTTTAGGATTTTTATTTCTAACACTTAAGCCAAATTTGTTTTCAATTATGATAAATAACTTAACTAGTCATAAAATGTACACAACTTTTAACTTTTAATTTCTTAAAAAAAAAATTAAGTTATAGAAGAAATCAATATATAGTGAGCAATCATCTTTCTTTAAAAAAATTTTCTTAAAATTTTGATCAATATCAAGTGCAAATTTTATGCAGTTAAGTACAATAAAAATTGATCATTATCAAAATAGAGCCTTTATATCATTGTTAAACCAAATTGTATATCATTACATCATTACAATAAAGTAATTGGAATTATACAACACATTAAGAAGTTTCATGATAGAGCAAAAATAAAAACTCAACAAAAGATAGAACTATTCTTTTATTGTTGTTTTGATATTCCATATTCTTCCGACTATTCCATCTTTAGTACCAATTAATATGATGCAAATATGAAAATTAAGATGAAAGATAAAAAATAAATATTCTCAATATATTGCAATACAGTAAAAAGAGAAAAAGTTAAACTCATTTTTTGCTATCATGAAGCAACAAAATTTTTGCTACATCTACATGTAAGAGAAAATATGCTATAGGATAAAATCGGCAAAGATAAATCTGTAACAGCCAATGTTAGCATTAAATATGTTCCAATTATTTACCTGTACTAGTGTACTACTCTTGTATAAGAAGGCTAGAAAATCTAACATTATCAACAAAAATATGTTAACTGAAAACAACTGACTAGAACTACAGGTCAATTAATAAATAGAAGAATTTAGAAAATAAAATTTATCATAAAAAGAAAAGGGAATATGTTATAACATCGAAGTGGTCAAAGCATTTATTAGAAAATCATAGTTTCAAGGAAAATAACAAATTTACCTTTTAACGACTCAGATTGTAGGCAAAGAAATCTCCACCTCTTCATCTTCTTCCTACAAAATAAAGATCAATTTCAAATTAATATGTTGATGTTTGATATTCAAATATATGAGTTCAATGAAAAAATGTATTATTGGTTATGATATATTTACCTTGATTCTTCCCTTCAACCTATAATGACATCGAACCCAATTAGATCTGCAAATGAGTGCTTGAACTATTTCAACACCAAGCTTGGAGCGATATGTGTCAACAACTCTTTCACCTGTATTGAATGTCGACTCTAGAGTGGCTGTACTGATCGGAATGGATAATATGTCAAATGCTATTTTTGATAATATACGACATTTTGCTTGGTTGCTTTTCCACCAAGATATGACATCCAATAGTTGACTTTTATTTTCTATTCTAAACCATCTTCTGGATATTTGGCTAGATCTGATTTTACTAGCTTGTACTTATTTTTGCTATAACGTAAGAGGTGAACTCATGCCATTCACTATACTTCTTAAACTCCTTGCCTGAACTTATACTGCTTGTGCCTTTTGAGCTATTCCTTGTGACCCCTTTGGAAGCTTCAACATTTGAATCAGACTGCACTGCATACTCTTCATATAATTCGTATAATAAACTTCGTACAAGTGAAATATTTCTAAAGCTTTTTTCATCAAAATATATCATCAGGTAAGCTAATTCTATAACAACAAATTTCATCTGTGGATCCATTACAGCACCCAAGGCCATCAAAATGTTGCATTCTCCCCAATATTTATCAAATTTTGCTTTTATTTTCTTTTGTCATTAAAGTCAGTTGCCGAAAGTCAAAATAGCCATTGATTCTAATTAGTTATGACTGGCGAGTTCTTTGAACTTCACTTGCTCAAGTAAAAAGCTCATCTCTTATATGCTTATAAGGAATAATCAAATTCATGGACTTAGCCATCCTAATGGGATCATGAAAATTTAGAATGACTATTTGAATGAAAATTTTTGCCAAAAAAAAAAAAAAAAAAAAACTCCTGCTATAGAATGATTTTGAAAAGGAATCAACACAAATATGGAACATTTAAACTAAACATGCGTATGGATTGGTTTCTAAGGAATCAGAACACGTGGATTGTTCTCAAATGGAATCAAATCTGATCAAGAAGAAATAGAAATGTTTGAAAAAGAAATCAATTGTGGACAAGGATCGATTTGGATGTATTCATTCTTGAATGCAAAATAACCGTTTGCATTTTTAATCATCCCTCCTTATTTAAATCAACATTATTTTGAACATTTTTTTCAAGAAAATTTTACACTAAAAGCTGGGTGTAAGAACGCATCAATTTATACAATAATATTAAAACAGTTTCCTTTGAAAAATGCCTTCATATCATTCATAGAACTAGTGGTGGCCTTATGTTTTGGAAAACTAAGATTGATAAGATCGTTGGAGGTTTTAGGAAAATTATCTTTTTCATTCAAGTTTAATCTACATATGTAATTTGTTTATATTCCGTTTTTCTAAAACAAGTTTTTTGGGTTCTAGTTTTTTATGCTTCTCTAGTAAATTCACTTCTCTTCTAAGAATTATTTTCTAACTGAAGTTCTATTGTATTATTGATAATTTATTCATTTCTTAAATTTGTCCTTGATGTAGCGTTTATCTTGAACCTAGTAAAAAGGTTATTGTTTTTTTCTTGGTGGAGTTTTGAGGGTTTATATGAAACCCCTCAAATATAATGAAATTGAATTTTTAAAAGTTGAAGTGTCTTATTGGTAACTATTGGAATTTTATTAAAAACACTAAAGTTAAGCATGCTGCTATGAGAATACTCTTGGGATGAGTGATCCCTTAGGAAGTTACATCATGGGGTTATTATGCTAAAGCAGTCAATATCTTGATGGCTGAGAACTTGGACTATTATTAATGATTTCAAAAGGGAAAATGACTAAAATGATCCTTTAACTCTTTATGAAGGACTAAAATGGTCCCTAACTATATTAAAGGACCATTTTGGTCCTTCAAGTCCTTAAAATAGTCTCATGGTAGGACTATTTTGATTCCTTTTTTAAGGAGTTGAATGACCAAATTTGTTCTTTAATATATGGGTCATTTTGATTTTTCATAAAGAGTTAAGAGATCATTTTGATCTTTTTTCTTAGTATCAAATTAATGTACTAGCCAAAAAATGGGAACTAAGTGTCATATATGATAAAATGCTACACCATGAAAGCCAACTTTTGAATTCCTTTTGGGCAGTGCTATATGTAGAGAGTCATATCTTGATCCTATAGGGGAAATCTATAGAATCTAATATTTATGGTGGATGGTTCTTGTTTATATGTATGGATATTGACAATGATGTTAGTTACTTGAGCATGGGAGATTAAAAAACCCTATAAGTGTAATGAAATTGAGCTTTTGAACATCGATATGCTTTTTGGTATAATGTTTGAAATTCATTTTGAAATTCCAAAGTGTGCTTATGCAAAAGCATTTCTATGTTGGGTGCTCGAGGAAGTTAAACCAAGGGGACAAAATCATGAGGCTATTAGGCAAAAAAAGACAATAACTCGATGATTGAGAGTTTAAGTTATATGTAACTTATTAATTCACTGAGAAACACCGAGGCGAAGCTTGGAAATTGGATATTGGCTTTGTTTGAGTCTGTATCACTATTAGTGTTTAGAGTTCTTTGGATTGCCTTATTTCTACTTTCTTTTAGATTAGTTGAATATCCTTTATTCATCAGTATTCAAGGTTTTCTAAATCCTCTTCTAAGTCTCTAGGTGAATTGGATTTAGGTTGCTACACATTTATTATTTTGATTTGATTGTGAAAACCTAATTTAGCCCCCTTTGGGCTGCTCTAGGGCCATACGATTGTATTGATCCATCGAAAAATGAAAAGGATTTGGGATTAAAAAGATGATGTCGCCTCGTGTGTCATGGTTCTGTATTGCCTTTGGCTATATGCATTGAGCTCAGCGCCTCATAGCATCCATTATATTTATTGAACTTCCAATTCACAATCAATATCTATAATTGCTTGTAGAAGCATTAAGCAGGTGTGATTCTATAGTTTGCGCAGAAATTCCTGATATTGGAAATTTGACAAAGCTAAATGCTTCTGATGTAGAACAATAGTAGGTTATCCATAATTTCTATCTTTTTATTTAAAAAAGGATGGAATTATATTGATTCTGTGGTAATTTCTATTGAAGAACCTATGATAATGTCATGCCACCTTTATAGAATTGAAATGCAGAATTAGTGCGTTGACAATTGCGATTCATTTAATTTCAGCAGTCTTATTCTCTGAAGCGAAAGGTGCAATTAATTTCTGTAAATTAGACAACTTATGAACTGTCCCAAACTGTTCATTAACGAAAGATATCGGCAATGAACTTGATTTTTAGATACAATATTGTCATTACTGATTCTTAAATGATTCACTATTTTATACGCCCGCATATGAAATCGTGCATTCATTTTCTAATGTAAAGTATCATATATTTTCAGTTAAACTTTTGCCGATATAATTTGTCTTCAGCAAAAGTGTTCAGTAGAACAAAACTCAAATGCTTATGTTCTCCAGGCACTTTTAGCTGCTCGGAATTCCGGTGCTGTTGTTTTTGCTGGTACATTTGGAGCACTTGCGTAAGTACCTAAATGCATAACAATTTTGATATTCTCTTCTATAACTATCTTATGTGAATGCTACTGAACTTTGTTGAAACTTTGGTTTATGTGCTTTACAAACATTATGAAAATACATTGAGGTTTCCCTATTTTGAAATGCCTGGTATATGAAGTCTTAGGCTTCATTTGGGACAGTTTTTTTATTGCTTCTTAAAGCTGCTTTAACTTTTGTATTAAAAAACTGCTTTAAGAAGCAGGAGGAAAACCGTCCCAAATGAAACCTTAGTTTATACTTTTAAGCATCTCAATTGTTGCGCCTCTATGTCTCAAGAAACCAATTAGCAAATAAGTATCATCGTGATCAATGTGAAGTCTAATTTTATTAACCATCTTTGATAAGATTTGATCTTAATTTTTGTAAGGTTTACTACCAATTTAAAATTCATATATATATATATATATATATTAAGTATGATTTTCTTATGGTGGTTACATAACTCATTTCACATTTGATTTTTGAATATGGTGGCTCACCTAACTTAATATTAATTTATTTATAGTTGATTTTCAATATGATGGCCACCAAACTAAAGGTTTATTAAATTCAAGCTTCTTCCTACCATGTCTAAGCATTATACAGAGGAATGGTTGAACTATCCCAAAATAAGAGACGATAAAGAAAGGAGAAGGATGTCATCCAAAAAAGAAAATAATTTTTTTCAGATGCTTACAAGATGTGTCCTTCAATTTCTTCAAGAACGAAGAAATGCTACTATTTTTTATTTTGGCAAGAGGGAAGCTCTTGTTAATAGTAGATAATAGTTCTCATTTAGGCTCCAACAATAAAAAGGAGAAGTAACTAAAGCAACAATATCTTTTCCGCATTTAGCCCTCATCTTTGTAGCTTGTTATTCATTCTTTATTTGTTAGACAACGTGGCATTTTTATCCATATTTCCTACTTTATATGAAGCATAATCCTTTATATATTATTTTTAAATGCTTAGCAGATTATTTGATCTTTATGTGGATGTGAATGTAGGCTTACATAAGCCAAACTATACAAATATTTTTGGCATTTGGAGAACCAAAAAAGATTTGGTTAGAAAATATTAGAAATGACCTTTCTTTATTAGATTCAAATGAGAATTTGACTCTTAATAGGACACAATGGAGAAAATAATTCATGTAGCGGACCCCACGTAGTGGGATAAAGGCTTGATGTTGTTGTTGTTGTTGTGGAGAACCAAGATGTGTGATGTCCTTCTTTATTACAGACTTGTAAAAGCACTCATGAAGTATAACAAGATGCCTTTAATCGTGAGTAAATAAGGCAAGCTTGAGTTGGAGGTTCTCTCAACGATTTAACTAGGTTTGGCGGATGAGATTTTAACAGAAGTCTTGGAGGAGATAATTGCATAAGCTTTATGACTTAAATTAGAGTCTTTGTATATGATTAAAAGCCTATTCAACAAACTTTATAAGAAACATTGATTATATTTACTTCATGCAAGAGTGCATGCATGTTAAATTATATTTGAGTGAGTTACTTTTCATCATTTAAGATTTGAAAAATATTGATGTGATTCTTGTTGATGAAAATCAGCCTTTGTTACTATTATGTTTTTTTTTCTCACTTATTATGGGTCTCCGAAAATTCAAACCTCAACTTTATTAGAGAGGATTTTTTTGTTACTTATGAAAATTTTAGAGGGTATGTTAGGTTGTGAATAAGATACTATTAAGAAATTTTGCCCTCATTTTATGAAGAATTTATGATAAAATTTAAAGTTTCCCATAAATGCAAGCCTCTATAGTTAAATATCTGTTTCGATGATGATAAAAAACTTTATATTAAGGCTTATTGTTAAAAGCAAAATGCTTGGCACAATTTTGATTTAGGATAGGGGAATTTATCGACTTAAACTTAAAGCAGGAGGCGGGGGCGATGATGGACTCGATCAAGATATTATAGTTCAATTATCACATGGTTCAATGCGCCTACACGATACAATGTCATGTTTTTAACTGTATTTGCACAATGTGTTGACATGTTTTACACTGTACTTATGTAATTTTTGAATAATGGCACACAGCTTAAGATAATTGTATGTTTCTTTATGGCAATTGTATACTTCTTAATATTATTACAAACTTCTAAGGGTAATGGTAGGCTTCTCGAGATTATTGTATCCTTCTCGAGACAACCGCATGGTAATAAAAATACACCATTAAGATGGTTGCATGTTTTTGAAGCAGCTACTTTTTCTTAAGACATTAGCACACTTCTAAAAGTAGAGATAGCTCATCTGCGCCTGGACCACTCATTGCTACGCACCTCATACTCTTATTGAATCTATTCTCTTTATTTTTTTTATATACTCATATAGTCTAAATCGCTTTTTGTCGGATGTGTCAATCTGGTTGAACATCTTCTTTGCTACGCACCTTCTTTTTCAAAGAGCTCTTAAGGAAAGAGAAAACTAAAGACGAGGTTAGGGGGTAAAGAATCTGTGCTTAAAAAGTAGCCAACAACTAGACCTCTACCCGGGGTAGAAATTGGTAGTAAGGAGTTTACTCTAATCCGACAGGTTTGACCCGATCCTGAGAAAAAGCTTTGGCCTCGTTTTGTCTCTTAGAAAAATTTGGTTTGGGCCCATGACCCACTGGGGGAAAGAGGAGGTCATGAATGTCGGTACGCTAAAGCCCCTAAACTCTACACTGGTAGTGATGCATAAAGTTAGAGAGGCAAGGTGTCCGAGTAGGTTTGGGGTTGGCCAGAGGTGGCAACAAAGGCAAAGTGCGGAGGTTTGGGAAGAGAAGAGCTTTCCAATGATTTGTGCTGGAGATTAACAACAAGAAGGTTAGTAGGTCAGGTGTTAGCTTGTGGGAGGAATGGAGGACGAGATAGTGGAGCTGGATTTTAGTTGGAGAAGAATGTTGAGAAGTTGAGTTGAAGAGATGAGAGTCTTGGGTGCTTGTTCGTGTGAAGGAGAGGTGAGATGGCCGGTGATGAGGGTGGAGAGATGAAAAGGAGGGGTTGGCTCTTGTAGATATGGGGTTGGAGTCAAAAGGTTGCATGGTGGCATAAGGGGAAGACATAGGGAAGGACAGGCTCAGGGCAATTTTGGAACAAGAGGTAGTGGTTGGCTGAATCTTGTGCAAGCGAATATTGAAAATGAGCAAAATAAAGCATGACAAGACCCCTACACGATGATGGACATGTACGAGGTTAGAGGAAATTAGAGAATTTTAAAGCTTGGGTTACATTTTTTATTTTTTTTAAATTTTCAATTACAATCATAATAATAATAAACTAATTAGTTAAATCGCGTTCTCACATAATTCCTCATTTCTCACGCATCTCGAAATGGATGCCTTCGCCTCTTGCGTGAGCAAATTTTTGCATTTTTCCTATGTGTAACAACCTAGGCAATATGGGTGTCATTTTCAGGCATTTTTTATATTATGGATGCGCTGACATAGTCCTTTTTGCAAGTTGAAATGTTCAAGCGACTTTTGAGCAATGACACACCTATATCTGCCACTTTTTCATCATGTAGCTATAAGAGGTCAAAAGCTATTGGACCTAGTGATATTCTAATAGTGGCTTGGAAATGCTTAGGAGATTTGAATGAATTTCTTGGCTTACCCAATTTTCAATACTATTTTGAAGACTAAAAAGATATTAGATGAGTAAAGGAGTATGCTGATTCTTATTTTTAAGAATAAAGGTGATGCACATGAGTGTGTAAATTATAGAGCAATTAAGTTAATGTATCATGCTTAGGTGGATGATTGGCTTCACACTTATAAACAGAATGTGAAACGAGTATATATGTGAAAAGGTTAGAGTAGCTCCAATGCTGTCCTTCTGATAACCCGATTATGAGGGTAGTTGTACTAGATTTGGCTTATGCTAAGAAATGTAGAAGTAGATCTAATAAGACATCATTATAAAATATTAGAAATGACCTTTCTCTATTAGATTTAAATGATAATTTGATTCTTAACATGATACAATGGAGAAAAATGATTCATGTAGCGACCTCATAAAGTGGGATAAAGTCTTAATGTTGTTGTTGTTGTTGTAGAGAAAAAAAGAAGAAGGATAAGTTAGCTTATGTAAGTACTACCAAAAAATTTTCTAGTTATGAAAGTTGAGATGCTCTTTTGATGATTGAATATAACAAGTGTAAATAATAGTGGATTTTGGACCCAGCTTGTTCTAATCATGTGTTTTAATCTAGATGTATTTTTTACATTTAAGTTAACTTTTGGTGGTTATATTTGCTGAAAAAAATAGAGCTATATGTATGATTGGAGGTTCTAGCCCATGTAAAGTTAAAGGCGCATGATGGTATAACAATATCTTTAGTTGGAGTCAAGTATATGAAATGCATTGTTAAGTTCTGATGTTTCAAATTAAACAATTATGATGGTATCTCATGGAAGCAAGAATTATACTAAGTATATGACATCAAGTATCATAATAGTGGGAATCAACGTGAAATATATTGCTTAATGATTTATGAAGAGCAGTGCAAAATAAAGTTTCTATCAAGTTGGAGCTTCCAATCAACAGATGGGCATTATTACATTATAAGAGAAAAATCAGAATTAAAGAGCAATTCAATAATAAGATAAAGTTTGATAAGCTTTGCACTAATGGACCGTGGTATTAAAAAGTTTCACTTAACAATAACGATTAATGACATGGAGATGCCGCACAGACAAGTGTTCAAAAATGATCATTACACTAGTACATGAAATATTCATTTTTAAAGTGGAAGATTGTTAATTGTTTATCTTTGATAAGATTTGATCTTGATTTTTCAAGATTGGTGGTTCACAACTTAAACTTCATTTACACTTGATTTTTTAAGATGGTGCTATATAAGTCAATTCATATTTGATTTTTCATTATAGTGGATACCAAATTCAAACTTACTACCTTTCATGTCTAAGTATTATATAAATAGATGATTGCATTTTCCTGAATTACCCCACAATAAGAAGCAACAAGGAGAGGAGAAGAAGAAGAGAAACAAAGAGAGGAGAGGGGTGGCATCCAAAAAATAAAAAGAAGATTTTTAAGTTGCTTACAAGAGGTGTTCTTTGGCTCTTTCAAGAAGGAAGAAGTGTTGCTGTGTGTGATTTTGGTAAGGGAAGAATCTCTTGGTTATAGCGAAGAAAAGTTCCCATTTGGACTTGCAATAGAATAGGGGACGAAAGCTACATCTTCTCCACATCTAGTATTTATTTTCGTAGCATGTGATTGCACACTTGATTAGAGAAAGGGATATCCTTATTCTTATCTCCAACTTTATTTGAAGTGTAAGCCTTCATGTACCACTTTTAAAGCTGAGTAAATTATTCAATCTCCATGGGGCCATTAACATGGGATTATTTCAGCTGAATTACGTAAATTTTGATTTTTTTTAATCTTGCTTGATCATTCTGATAGGAAACACTTGTAGATCTCAAGTATTTCCTATCAATCTTCGGAAAACAGCGAGGATTCTTCACAAAAGTCCGCACAAAACCATGAAAACAATAAATAATTTGTATGATTTGATGAAAGGAAAACGGAAAATAGCAAGATACAATTGATCCTCTATTCGAGAGGAGGATTGATCTCTCCCAAATCTCTAACGTCGCTAGAGCCCAAAGAAAAACCTAAATATAGGAGATCTCAATTTTCAGCCAAATTCAAGATGTCATAACCCTAGGAAAACAAAGTATTTAATGCATACAAAACAAAAGGAAACCCCTAAGCAGTTCCTACATTCAAATTTCCCTCCCAAATCCCTCAAAAATCCTTCCTAAAAAGCTCTGTGAGCGTTGGCGGCTCACACGACAATGCAGGAGGCGGAAGAGTTCTGCCTCCGTTTCGTCGAGCCACTCCAATCTGGACTGGCTGGACCGGTCTAATGGACCAGTCTAACAATACTCCCCTCCCAAAGATCCACCTTATCCTCAAGGTGGAAATATGCTCGTGTTCCCATGGAGGTGGCCATCATTGAGGTGGCTGAAAAACCTTACCGAGTTGCTGAATCATGGACTGCACTAAAAGAGAAATACCCCTCCTCTCCTCCATCCTGATCACATCTAGCTTTTGTAGTTCCACGAGATAATCTTCCCCCACCTCTTGTAGGCTCCTAACCATGGTCTTAAGTGATACCATAGCTCCCCTTATGTTCACCTTTCTCCCATCTACCATTAATTCCATCGTGAGTACTCCCCAATTGTCCTTGTTTTCCCCCAAGGTTAACAACCACTTCATTCCGAGGATGACATTGGTACTTCCTAACTCTAGTGGGAGAAAATCCTCCCTTACCTAAATTCCATGGATGGTCAACACCACTCTATAAATCCCCTGGCCTTTCTCCACCTTCCCTGTACCCATCATCACCCAATAATAACCGGTGTCCACCAATTTCACTCACAGTTGGTTGACGACCTAAGCAGAAATGAAATTATGGGAAGCCCCACTGTCAATCAATACAACCATATCCATTGTTGCTATTTTCCCCTTCACCTTTATCATATGATTCGAAGTGAATCCTACTACTGAATTCCGGGAGACCTTCGCCACATCTAGATGTAAATTATCATCCATTTCTCTCTCACCTCCCTCAAAGCTTGAAGAGTTCGATCTCTACACAGACGGTGAGAACCTGAAGAGTTCGATCTCTACACCTGTGTTGTGGAGTATACTTCTTATCACATCGAAAACATAACCTTTTTGCCCTCTTCTCATGCATATCCTTCTCTGTCAGCCTCTTGAAATTTTTCTCACTCCCTCCTACTGGCTTCTCCCTAGTGGTCTCATTAATGTTGCCTGATGCAGGCCCCTTGGGTGCTAGAAGAGCGGTCCTCCTATAAGAGCCTCCTAAGCTACTGCTCCTGACTCCTTTCTCTAGATTCTTTTGATTTTCCACCAGCTGTGCCAACTTCATGGTCTCCCCCAAGTCACGAGGCATCAGAACTTTCACTGCCACTTTGATCTCTACCTTCAGCCCCTTCATGAAGTTCCCCTCCAATATCGTATATGATAATTGCTCCACCCTACTAGCTAGGTGCTCAAATTGCTCCCGGTAGTCTGCTACTGATCCCTCCTATGCCAGAGAAAAGAATTGCTCATAGAAATCTCCTCCCCGGTCAGTTTGGAAATGTTCTCCTATGCAATCCTTGAATTTCCTCTAGTCCCCTGATAGGTCTCCTCTGGTCTCTCCACTGGTACCATGACAATGTCTTCCCCTCCAAACATAGGTCTGTTGCTGTCAGCTTCTCCTCCTCCATTAGACCATTAACAGCAAAGTACCTCTCCACCTTATAGATCCACCCATACACATCCTTTCCCTCGAAGATAGGCATCTTCAACTTCCTCACCTTCTAATCTTCACCATTTCTCCTTATTCCTCCATAGCTTCCCCTCTCCCAAGTGCTCGGCCCACCCAGTCTTCCCTTGCCCTGCCATACCTTTGAATTCCCCTCTTTTTCCTTCAAAATCAGCACCTCGACAACCATAATAACCCTCCCGGCGTTTCCAATCAGCACCCCTTTGCTCCGTCCCTCCATACCCATGCCTTTCCCCATACCTACCTCCTCTATCCTCCCTCTGGAAAGGCGCCATATATGGTTTCCTTCTTTCTCCCTCCACAATTTCCACCTCATCTTCCTCCCTACGAATTTCAGAATTTGTGTTTTTTCCTTCCTCCCCTTTGCCACGGAGGCTGTCGTTTGGTTGTGAATTTCCAACATTTTCTTCTTCATGTCCCAGAGATCAGCTACTTGTCCTTCCATGGAGGAAATCCTTTCCTCCACCGTTGTCTTGATTTGGTTCATCACCCCTTCAAGCCTTTCTTCTAGCGCATCAACTTTCTTGGCCGCCATCTCGATCCAAACTTTTGTAAATCTAAAAATTCCGGATTTGGATTAAAAAATAGCAATTTTGTCCCTTCCCGACCAAAAATCAGCCGCTAAAATTCGCCAAAATCAGCCCACAAATGGTCCCAAGACTTGCTCTGATACCAATTTGATAAGAAACACTTGTAGATCTCAAGTATTTCCTATCAATCTTCAGGAAACAGCAAGGTTTCTTCATAAAAGTCCGCACAAAATCACAAAAACAATAGATAATTTGTATAATTTGATGAAAGGAAAATGGAAAATAGCAAGATACAATTGATCATCTATTCGAGAGGAGGATTGATCTCTCCCAAATCTCTAAACGCCGCTAGAGCTCAAAGAAAAACCTAAATCTAGGAGATCTCAAATTTTAGACAAATTCAAGATGCCCTAACCCTAGGAAAACAAAGTATTTACTGCATACAAAACAAAAGGAAATTCTTAAGCAGTCCCTACATTCAAATTTCCCTCCCAAATCTCTCAAAAATCCTTCCTAAAAAGCTTTGTGGGCGTTGGCGGCTCACGGGGCACTACAAGAGGCGGAAGAGTTTCCGCCTCTGTTCCGTCGAGCCGGTCCAGTCTGGACCGGTCTAACACATTCCTAACACCCTCTCTCCTTCATACCCATCCACAACCTGTGTGCATTCTGACTTTGTTTTTTCCTGACCAGTATAGGTGTTTGGTGTGTGTGTGTGTGTGGGGGGGTGGGGTTGGTTTGTGCGGTCTTTGGGGCATGTAGGGAACATTGACTGGTTCAATTCACTGTTTTGGTAAGTACATTTTTTATGTAAAATAAGGATTAACTCATTAATATGTCCAGTGATATTAACTCATTAATATCATTGGCATCGTATTATTCAGGATGTGGTTGAGATGGATGCATGAGACTTGGGATATTTTATGGGAATGTATTAATATAGAAAGATAGGTACACGGTTATATGTTAAGGGATTACTCTTTTGGTTTTAGAGTGTTGGTCTATTGCAATCTCTCTTATAGATGATTTTCATATTACACTGCCTTCAATTGTTATTTTCTAAAGATGATCTATTAAGAATTAACAAAAATCAAATATATCAAACAGGGCCATGACTATCGTATCCGTTGTTCTTGGTCGCACATTCCATTATGTTGATGACATCCTTCCATTCAGGTATGACCAAGGCGAGGTGTTCTGTTGTTTATTTTTCCTTCCTGACTAATTCCAGACGCTACAGTTATTTCACCACTCCTATCCATGAACTTACAAATGCAGGCTTGGTGGGACAGATTTTCCAATTGATGATTTTGCAGCTGTTTGTCTTTTGGTAAGTATGATGAACCATTATATGTAATAAAATATTCCTAGAAGAAATGCAGTTCTATGGATAGTGATGCAGGAAAATAATTTAAAAAACTTGACTAGTACTTGTTCCTTCTGAATTCAGGTTTATTTTGGTGTTACTACATTGCTTGACGCTGCCTCAGGTGATGAATTGAAGATAAAGGATGAACAAGAAGAGGTGATTCTATTTGCCTCAGAAAATTTTACTGAATTTTGATGTGACAATTACCATAAACCCAATAGAATTACATTTGCTATGCCATAATTATGTGAACTGTGGGCTCCGAAAATTCGGCCCCGGCCTCCACTCGCTTTTCTTATTCGGCGAGGGAGTTTTAACGAACTAAGTTCCGAGGTAAATTTTGGAAGGCAGATGGGTTTGTAGATAAGACACTACCCAGAGATTTCGTTTTTTTTCGGTACAGCAGATGGGTCAACATGAACACTCTTACAAACTCTAACCACCTCGAGATGATTTCAGGTGATGCTAATTCTTGTACCTGCATAGCGGTTTATTGATTATACTAGGCAACATTCAAAATTTTCTGCATTAGGTCCGCTTAAGTTGGTTCTAACAACATTTCATTAATTTGGGAAAAAAAAAAAAAACAAATCTGCCTGCATTTGGCTCAAAAAAAGACCATCCAACTAGCATGAATTGAGATTGCCCCATGGTACAGAGTTAAAAATTTCAAAACTTCAAGGTTTACATTGCACTGGAATTAAAATGAAAAGAATTAAATGAACCTTTGCATGCCGAATCAGTTTTGTTGTAAAGTCCACGAAAATGTTTCTTTTATGTTTAGGTGAAAGGAAAGTGAAGCAAGAAAGATAAGCTTTGCTCAACTTACGATGTAAAAATGAATCTCAAAATTAATTTCCCTGCAAACGTTATGTATTTGTGACTCGCTTAAAATAAACACTTCTGACTTGGGCACTTGAAAACTTGTACACTCTACGACTGTCAAGCACACCAGATGGCATTACCTGCTATTTTTAGTTTTTGAAAAAAATCTGATACCACTCAGGCATTACTTATGACACTTCTTGGACACCTTTTTAACACTTTTTGAATACATCTAGTTGTCAGAAATTACACACAAATGTTGCCACTTAATTTATGATAACTATTATTTGTCATCCTTTATTTGTAATTTTTAATAATATGGAGATCTATTACTTTTTCTCCTATTATTGGTCATGCTTGATTTTAAGTCTATTATATTTATGAAGATAGTGATATTATAATTTAAATATAGAAAAATTTTGAAAAATAAAGTGAGTATGGAAAAAAAATATTGTAGATGACAAAGTAAAGATAGAAAATTTTAGACAGCGATCTCCTCAGTGTGCACAAAGAAAATTTGCACTATAATTGCGAAGGGCACTGATATGCCAGTTCAGGTTGAACCGGCCCAGCCGGCCCAAGCAAGTATATAGGAGGCGGAAACAGTCCACCTCCTCTCTATTTTCCGCCCAATGAGTGGGCCCCACTCGTCTGATTGAATTCAAATTGAAAAGGAGGGAGCAGCTAGGGCTTTGGAAGGGAAATTAGATTAGGAAAGTGGTGTAGAACGGGAGGAGGTGGGGGAGATTTTAAAAAAAAAATTGAATTTCAAACAAGAAGAATAAAGGAGGGAAGAGATAATTAATATTCCTTAATCTTAGGCCGTAAATTAGGGAATAAATAATTAGAGAGAGGAGAAAAGTTGGGCCGGCCAATGAAGGAAAGAGAAATAAGTGTCCACATACAATGTATGTGGACCCATGCATTAATGGGAGATTGGAGAGTTAAATCTGAAATAATTTCAGATTTAATATGATTGAAAGATGCTTCCTAAAATAGATGTACTAATTAGGAAAGAATTTGAAATTTGGATATGGGATTAATTAATCAATCAATTTCAAAATTGATTAATTAATTAAATAAAGAAACTTTCCAAAATTTATGTAATTAATGAGGGTGGATTTGAAATTCAAATTAGATTAATTCGAATTTGAAATCTTTCTGAATTAATGACATCCTAAATAAGGAAATAACAATTTTGGAGGGAAGTGATATTAGGCAAATAGATTGCTAGTGGGTGGGTTTGGGTGATGGTGGGGATGAAGCCGGCGGATTGGAGAGACCGGCGGCTAGGGAGGTTGGCGGGGGGTGTTGGAGGCGGAGCTAAAGCCGTGGTGAGGGAGAAGGGGAGGTCGGTTTTGTGGAAGTGGAAGGGTTTATGGGAGAATCGACCGGTGGAAAGTGGGGGATTTTGGCCGGCGGTCAAGGGAGGAGGAGAAGTGGATTTAGGGAAAGAAAGATACAACCACGAGCCCGGACACATCCTGCACTTGACGGGTACTACGTTGCCCTTCACCAAGGGACTTTAGGCCACAAGCCCAGACACATCTTGCGGCTGGGGGAAGCTATGAATTCCTCCCATAGGAATCTCACCCAAGGTTCTTCCCAAAGAGCAAAAGTGCAAAAACACAAAATTTTTTATTATAATTTCATCATGCCTAATACAAGAGAAGGGACCTCTATATATAGGTCTCAAAAGAAATTAAAAGACACATTTGCCCCTTGGGCTTATATAAGGCAAGACTCTTAAACAAAAGGGTGAAAAGGGAAAATTACAAAATTAAATCAAAATACAAGTAATAAACTAAAAAATGGAGTGATCTCGGCCGTCGATCTTCGACTCTTCCTTTGAATATCGTCCACCGTCGGATGTCCGCATCAGAAAGTTTTTGTATTAAAGTGCATGAGAGGATTAGGGGGGATTATGTTTTGATTGATTGGAATTAGGTTTCTTGGCGACTTGGGCTCTAGACTCTCTTGTCTAGAGATTTGGGAGAGACGATCCTCCTCTCGAATTGAGGATCTCTTATATCTTTGCTTTGTTCTTGTTTTCCTTTGTTTTATATAAGATTTGCTATCATTTGATTGTACTTCCACCACGATTTCTTTGTTTTCTCGCTGTTTTTACCTATTATTATTAGGTTTGCTTGCGAATTCAAGTAGATCCGATAGGATTACTTGTGAACTCAAGTATTTCCTATTAGGTACATCATGGCTTTTCTTATATGCAATCCTTTAAATTTTGAGAGAAACATGTTGAAAGACCAAAAACTAAAACATAAAATGCTTGTAGGAATAGATCATTGTGTTTCATGTTCATAGCAATAAGATATTCTAGACATCACCATACCTGCCTAAAACACAACTATGCAAAAACATAACACCAACACTATTGTGCTGTGTTGTGGTTCATAACAACTACAAATAAAAGTGCAAAAGAATCGTTTTCTTTTATGAGGCAGTTTACTTGATTTCTTCTCTTTCTCTGTTTTGATTTCTCTAGTTGTTTCTCTGTGCCTTTCGTTCTCCCTTTCTTTCTCAAGGTATTTATCTACTATCCCTATCCTCATTTACTTTGACCTATCTACTGCAACTCTATCTCATACTCTAGTCATCAACATTTTGCCCTCATTTTATTTATTAATTTGATTAGTGTGGTCGAACAAATTGTAAATTGATTTTTGTACCAAATTAATGACTTGATCGCACTAGGTCTATTACTACTAAAATTTCACTGCATATATTCAGTTCTAGATCCACTCAAGCGAAAACCTTTAGACTTTAAGGTTGACCTCCATAATTCAATTTTACCTTCAGCTCTCTCTCTAGTCTTATCAACAAGAAGAATATCATGTGCAAACACTAAACAAGATATGGGCTTAAAGATGATTCTTGATGTAATCCAACCGAAATAGAAAAATACTTGGTCAAACCACCTTGTGTTTGAACACAAGTAATAGCTCCTGCATACATATCTTTAATGACTTGAATATAAGCGTTATCAACTCCTTTCTTTTCAAGAATTCTCCATAGCACTTCTCTTAGAACTTTATCATATGCTTTCTCTAAATCAATAAATATCATATGTAGATCCTCATTCTTTCTATATCTCTCCATCAAACCTCTCAATAAATGTATGGCTTATATAGTAGACCTACCCGGCATGAATCCAAATTGATTTTGAGAAACATTAGTATCACGCCACAACCTACACTTCATAACTCGCTCTCATAGTTTTAAAGTATGACACATTAACTTAATTCCTCTATAATTCGCACAATCTTGATTTCACTCACCCAACCATCTTGATTTTCTCTCTTTTAATTTTTCCATTCATCCTCACTTCCTTTCTTTTTTTCTCTCTTTCTCTCAACGGGCTGAAGCCATCTCCTTTCTAATTTTCTTTGAGTGAGCTTATTGCCTCTCCCTCTCATACTTTAGTGACCATTCTGTCTCTTCTTTTATAAACCTAATCAAGGCGGTGGGAAAAACAGGAGACTTTTTTACTAAACTCGAGATGTTTTGTGTATTATCTAGAGTTTCTCATAACCTAAAGATTAGAAGGTTAAATATAATTTGGGTCCCCCAAATTTGGATCATGCATCATGCATTCATGATTTAAAAAACCCTCCACAATGGGCCAATGTGACTATAGAAATTTCACTATGTTTCCTTTACTTGGTTTTTGGTCTTCAAAGTTGTTCATATTTTATATTTCATAGAGATGAAGCCACTTTGCCAATGTCAGAGAAGAAAAGGAAAAAGAATAGGAAAGGGGGAGGTGACAGGAGGGGTCTTACAATTTTAATTATTGATTCTCGTACAGTCAGGTTATTTTTCAATGAGGTTGAGACTCTCACTTCGGGGGCATCAAAGAGGAAGAATAATAGGAGAGATGGAGTTAAAAGAGGTCCTTCATCTTACATCAACCAGTTAAAAAGCAACAGTTTAGTATACGAAATTGCTAGAAGAGGTAAAATTGGTGGAGATGGTTGACATTAGGACTGTGAGAGGAGGGAAATTTCCACATTAGAAGAAGAGGAAAAAATGGAGGGAAAATAAGAGCGGCTAATTGTGTCTTTTTAAATCTTACTTTCAATTAATGATTTTGTTAGTGCCAAAGTGGAGTGTTTTAAAACCATGAACCACTATGAAACTTGAACCAAACATAATGGGATCACATGATATTTGCCTTGAGAAAATTTAAAAGCCTATGAATATAAATACTTTCATAAATAAAAAATTTTGAACTGCCACTATCCATAAATATTATTTAACCGTGCTTATCTTGTATAAAAAAAGTAGGGCTCCACTGCATCATAAAATATGAATATAAATATCCTATTATCCATAACCATTGCCATTGCCTTGACTTTGTGTTATGTTCATATCTATGCATTCATTGACACCAGAACTTTTGAAGAAAAGGAAAGATGGGAAAAGGCAGCAGGTTTGTGTCAAATTTAGAAGACATTTTTTACCAATGCTTCTTATGTGCCAACTTTTTCTTCTTTCTTTGTTCTTCTGTATTTTCCTTTTGCCCTTTATTTTGTAAGAATGAAGTATCGCTCTGTCTTGCTAACCTTCAAGCTGTCGATTTATTGATGATTTAATGCATAGTTTGTGAACACCATAAAAGGATCTTGGTCTCTGTGCACATCCATGTATTGTTTTCCCTGCATGGACCAGACTACCAGACTTTCGCTTCCGTCAATATGCATATATTTTGAAAGTCCAATAAGTTATGGTGGAATTTGTCATTAAGGTTTCGTTTGGGATGATTTTCTTATTGCTTCTTAAAACAGTTTTTTATTTTTATATTAAAAAGTTGTTTTAAGAAGTAGTAAAAAAACCGTTCCAAATGAAGTCTAAATCGATCACAACTGGTCTCAATAAAAATCTTCAATGCAGATTTCTTCCGAATTCCTAAAGCTGTATTTATCATCCTTGCGTGTATAAGTTTATACAGTGGCGCTGACATGAATAGCAGCTCAGGCAGAGTTAGCAATTTCTGAGTTACGAGGCAATGGAGCAGGAATCACGGCTGCTGCCAGTACAGTGATTAGCACTTTCTTCCTTGTCTTTGTTGCTGAATGGGGTGATAAATCATTTTTCTCGACAATTGGTTAGTCTCAATATTTTTCTTATCTTCATGAAATGATTTTTATGATCATGCTCTTATAAAGAAATGTTGTTTCCTTTACAGCGCTTGCTGCTGCTTCTTCACCTCTTGGTGTAATAGGGGGAGCACTAGCTGGTCATGCATTTGCAACTTTGGTAACTTTCAATTATAGACTTCTGTAACTTTGGAATGTTGCATTATTTTTCTTTGGAATTCACTTAAAACCGTTTTTGACTGAAGAGATTAAGGTTTCGTTTGGGACGACTTTTTTATTGCTTCTTAAAGCAACTTTCTAGTAAAAAAATTTTAACTTTTGTACTATAAAGCTGCTTTAAGAAGCAGTAAAAAAGTCATCCCAAATAAAACCTAATTTGTCGAGTTTCTTATAGGCGCAATTACCATTTATTTGCTCTTTCTTGACTAATCCTTCTGATACTTGCTTTTGTCCAACAATATCATTGTCTGAGCTAATTTTTCTCTATTATGTTCAATATCATAAATGTCTGTGAGGATCGTCTATGAAATAGTATGAGGCTCATCCCAAATAATTAGAAAATATCTCAGTGAATAAATTCCTAATTTTCTTATGCTTTTTTTATAGTTCTGATTCGTTTATCTTGCATATGGACAAATAATATTAACAAGTGGTGGTCATATATTGGCAAATCTTCAACAACTTTTAAAGAAGAAGCTCATAATGCACAATTGTTTTGATGCTTAGAAAAGATAATATGCCTTGAAAAGTTTTTTAACAAGAAAATCTTTTCAAGTAGTATGAACAAAAGCTGTGGAGCAATAAAACTCATAAAATATAGCATTCTAATAGCTAAATTTTACAGTTAGTTTTTCCTCTTATGCAGCTTGCAGTCTTAGGTGGCTCCTTGCTGGGAACATATGTCTCTGAGAAGGTAACTCTTTCATGAAGAATTTGGAGTTTTAAATCAGAAATTGGATCAGGATTTTAACATCTACAATTGTAAATTGTTTCTTAAGTAAAATTTCTAGTAGTTGGAAGAGTACTGTTTCCTCTTTAATTACTAAAGGGTGTCTCCAGCCGAACTTCAAACGACTGTAAGGCGTAGCTGGTTTGCTCCATTCGAGCGGCAAAAAAATCGCTAATCGGTGGAGGGTGAACAGTGAGACGCCAATATTGGCGTTGCACTATTCACCTACGCTATTTTTCTATCTCAACCAGATTTGCCGAAGAAACACGCGAAAGAGGAGAAGACTTTTACCTTCGTAGAAGCGCGCAAAATGGAGTTTAATTGGAGATGAATCACAGTATTTTTAAATTTCACTGTATTTTGGAGTTAAAAATTGAGATTTTCGGTTGGAGATGCCCTAAAGCCTAGAACATTTTGACTCGCAGGTCATTGCATATATTGGAGGAACTCTCTTTCTGGTATTTGCTGGTGTTACATTCATTGAAATCTTCAGTTAACTTGGTTTCAACTTTCTAGCTTGTCATTCAAATCAGCAAGCTCTTATGAAAAGGTATTCAGAATCACTTCTGCTGTGTTAATAATTTACATGGAACTATTTATTATTGATTTTTTGACATTTGTCTTTGATGTGCATTAGTTCTAATCAATGTTGTTTACTGTTTCCACAGCATATGCAGGCTTTCAATAGAACAAGCCCAAGCCTGATGCCCAACAAATCACAACATTCTGTTTCATTTAAAAAAGAAATCACAATCTGTGGAACTTTGAGGAGGTTCTTAATAAATGCTTAGCTATTTTTCAAAAAAGGTTTTTTTTTTTTTTTTTTTTTTTTTTTTTTTTTTTTGTTCTTTGTAAAATATTTTTGACAACTGATCAAATTCAAGAAAAGAGAAAATCAAGATGGTTTTCATGAACAAGTAGAATGATGAAACCTAGAAGATACTTTCTCATGCAAAAATTGGAATAATTTATTGCTTAAATTAGGCTTTGTTTGGGAGAAGTTTCTTATTATTTTCTACAGCAATTTTCTAGCACAATTTTTTTGAAACCAGCAAACAAACAGTAGTCAAAAGTCATTCCAAATGAAGATTTAGTTTGATTCATTTTCTTTGTGATTTAGGCTTCGTTTGGTACGGTTTTTTTTGTTCCTTTTTAAAACAACTTTTTAATATAAAAATTAAAAAAAATATACTAAAAGGCTGCTTTAAGAAACAGTAAGAAAATTCATCCCAAACGAAATCATAGTAAAACCTGAACCCAAAATTAAATTGGATGATTGGTTTATACAATGTTATAAGTTAAAATGTAATCAAACTCAAATTGAATTGAATGCCTTCAAATCAATTAGGGGATTTTGGTGCAACTCAATTTGCTATGTGATGTGTTAGGTTATCATTAGCTGATAGCTGTTTATTTTTGTGATATCTTTTAATGACAATTGTATAAAAGATGGTTTGGTGATATTTAAATGCCAGTCAAATTTTTCAACATTTAAATATCAGATTATATGATGGTTAAAAAAATAAAAATTGTGCGCTTAAAAAATTTGCACTTCAATTTTATTGGGTGTTTTTTAACTTCTTAGGGCCAATTTTTATAAGGCATGTTAGATTGTATATATACATATCATATTTTTTTTCTTTTTTTTTTAATTCAAATCTATGTTCAAATCCCACTCAAATCTTTTTCCATTCGGCTGCCATTTCCTGCGTTTCGGCGCCATTTCTGAACCGGCCAAACTCCCATTTCCCTCGATCTCTCATGTAACCGGCAAATTATTGCATCCGGTCATCGGACACGCAAAATAGGTTCAGACATCCAATAAAAACATGCCACGTCACCTGCGCTTTTTACTGCGCCTTTGACTACGCTTTGACTGCGCTTTACCTGCACTTTTGATTGTGCTTTACCTGCTCTTTACCTGTACTTTTGATGCGCTTAATTTAAAATAATATTTTATTAATATGTTTACATATAGTCAGATTAAACCTTCCAAATGCATAGACTATAGAACTTCAAGGCTTCAAGCCTTCAAGCAGATATCTGTAGACTGTAGGCAGTAGGCACAACTGCACAAGCAGTAAGCACGGCTCTAGTTGAAGCATATTAAACATTTAAACCTTACATTTTATTCACATATTTGTAGGCAATAGGCTCTACAGTTAACTCAGTAAGCACGGCTCAGTGATGCATAGAAGTATAGAACAACTATAAGTCTACAATAAAACAAGTTATATCTGTTTAAAATCTTCAATATGATGCTCATTGCTTAGATTAAATCTTCCAAATATGTAATCCCCTAATGAGGAGTAAGTTCAATCAACATTAGCATATTACCTTTCAAGAAGACAAATTATACTTTGCATTAAGCTAGTATCTATTCATTTATATATGTAGTATATGCTCATTTACTAGAATACAAAATAACAAATGTCTCCTGGTTGTAATAGGATTTATTATGAAACTATTCCCATAATAATTTGAGATGGTTGATCATCATCTCTTCATCACTTCAAACAGCAACAAATAATATATGACTTTAATAAAAAGTCGAAGCAGCAAACATAGCAATGCTGCCAATGCATCAACAAACACAGCAAACAAATAAAATGCATCAGAACTTCAGAAGAAGTTCGGCCTTGAATAACCAGCAGGATACCCGAAAACAAAGACATCAAAATAGCAATGAAGCAGCACAAACAATACAAGTTCACATACATCAGAGGCTTCAGAGTAGCTGCAGCCAGCAGGTTACTAGAAACAGAAACCAAACAACCAAATAAATAAGTTGTTCTTGGTCATAACAATACACAGCCACTTAAAACTTAAAATGTTTACAGCCCTTAAAGAAATACAACACATATTTATTGTTTAAATTTTCATGTAATAGAACTTTCCCCAGCTTCTATCTCAAGTTAATTTACTGTTAAAGTAAGGATATCTTTAGTCACAGCTTCAAGTTCAGGATCATGTGTAACTGCAACAAGCCAACAAATAATAATATGTTTTTGAGAATTTAGCTCTTAATTACTAAAGAAAGTGCACTTATATAAGTAAAAGTTTAAAAAAAACTGCACCCTTATCCTCATATAGCCAATCCTTGGCACAGACCAAAGCCTCAACATTATCATGTTTTAGTGCACTCTGATATTGATCGAGGATTCACCCACTATTACTAAAAGCACTTTCAGAGGCAATAGTTGATATGGGAATACACAAAACATCACGTGCCATTGCAGAAACCTCAGGAAATCTATATTGGTTGTCTTTCCATAAATATAAGATATCTAGCTCAATTTTTCTATCTATTTTTGGTTCATCAAGATACATCTCCAATTCTGATTTCTTTGGCATTTCAACCTCCTCCTCCAAGGAATCAAAATCCTGTTTTGGAATGTAAGAATTGAACATTTGTGCACCAAATTGGAAATAAGTAACTCAATTATTGTTTGCTAAAAAAAGTTATACCTGTAGAAATTGAGATTGAATTACAGCGGAAGAAGAATGACTTGTGCATTCAGTATGTCGTCTTTCACTTACATTTGCTGGAACATTTACACAACTACTATGATAATTCGAGAATAATGAGAACAAACTGTCTCTCACCTTCTTAATCTCAAACACATAATCACCCACATATAACCTCTTGTAGCACCATTCTACAAATGTGAATTTATTTCTCGGACCAAGAATAACTGCTATTACAAGAATGATGCTAAAATCAGACCAATACTTTTCAAATTTTCCAAACATCCTTCTACACATTTGTTTTATATAATCAGGGCCCTCTATCAATTCTTGTTTCAATGTATCATAAGCTGTAGATATGCATGGAAAATATAGATTTGTCGTTAGATACTTTGTGCCATATTAACACATGTTATATCATAAAAAGGTCTCAAGAATGTTGAAGTTTTCTCTACTCTCTCCTATTCTGAATTTATTGGACATATTTTGTAGTTGGAGTCACCCAACTCTAAATGTTGGCAAGCCCTGCGGTAATAGAGAACACTTTCTAACATTATGAAAGTGGAGTTCCACCTTGTAGGAACATTTTGTCTTAAGCCTCTTTTCTACTCCAAGCAACTCTGTTTCATACAATCTAAAAATTTTTGTTTCCTTGCTTGAGATCCCTTGACATATTTTATGTTCTCTCTGATTTGTGAGATTGAAGCATCGAGATTGAAGCATCAATCTCCTTGATTCCCTCTTGGACAATAAGATTAACAATATAAGCAGTGCATCTAATATGGAAAAATTGACCTTCACATAACAAAGTTCTTCTCAAAATTAACTGATTTCTCTAGTCAACACATATATTGTTTGCGGAAGCGTTGTCTAAGGTAATACTGAAAAGTTTATATTCTATTTTCCATTCAAGAAAAAGAGACTGCAATTTCTCAAATAGTGTTATCCCATCATTGGGTGGTGGCACAAAAGAAAACATATGATTTTTTTTTGTGTAAATATCACTCATTATCAATATAATGGACGGTCAAACAAATAAAGTCATCGCTGTTTATGGATGTCCACAGGTCAGATGTAACACAAACTCTGTTAGTGCACTTACTTAATTTTGATCGAATATTACAAAGCTCTTTAGTGAATAATTTCTTGCAATCATTCCTTACTGTATGCCTAGAAAACATTTGAACATCCTGACGAAGATAGGTCATAAGTGATCGAACACCCAACCATTCAACACATTGGAAGGACAAATCATGCATAATTATGCAAGAAGTAAATAAATCATGAAATTCTGCATTTTCAAACTTATGATCAGTCATAGCAATAGATGTACTAGAACTAGTTTGCAATATGAGCTGCCCTATATCATGTAAATTTCTTTTTTTGTAATTTTGCAAGTGTCTCCTTAAGTTACCAGTGTCATTTTTACTATCATATAAGTATTGAGCACCACATCTTTTACATTTACACATTTGTTTACCATCTGTAGGATTAGTAATATCTCAAAATGACCCCAAACCTTGGAAGTCATCCTTCTACGCTTCTTAATTACGACTGAACCATCATCACATGCATCATCAGATGCCTCTACCACATTGTCTTCAATGCGAACTTCATCATTTTCTTGAATATAATTTTTAGGAATTGTGTTTGAATCCTCCATCTATTGCAAAAATTATATCAAATTATACAAATCAAAAGTGAAAAAGTGCCTAAAAAAATATCCAAGCAACTAAAGAATCAAGTTGCTAACAACAACTAAAAATTTTCGGGCAAACTTCCAACACAAAATCAATGAATTGCATATAGCCCACTTCCAACAGGCAACAAAGAATTCCATTTTCAAATATCTCATAAGTCATAAGTCATAACACTGATAACATCCACTACAAGTTAACAAGCAGAATAATAGACATTGCCAATTTGCCATAACAGATAATCAAAGAAAGCCAAGCCAACTAACTGCTAACAAAAAGTCGAAACTTCAATTTTTAAAACCCTAAGCGAAATTTCAACACAAATCTTGATTTCATAATAAGATTATAACTGCATCATAAGATAAAAATTCCTAAAAAATTGAACATATAAAAGCACAAAATGTGAAGCCCTAATCGGTATTTCAAAGCCACAACAGCTTCAAATTTGAAGGAAGAACCAAATAACTCAAAAATTCCACTCTAGCCTCTAGCAGTAGCAGTGCCTCAATAACAAAAAAAAAATGCAAAACTCATAACTTCATAAGTCACAAAGAATTAAAGATAATCGAAAGAAAGTTAACAAAAAAATCAAACCAATGAGGCGATGAGCCGATGAGTCGATGACGAAGAGTCGAAGGGCCGCAGAGGAGGAAATCTCCGTGAAATTGAGCAGCTCTAGCTTGGATATTTCTCACTTTCTCGCTCGAAAAGAGATGAACAACGAACGATATTTCGATTTTTGACTCTCGGTCGCACAATAGGATAGCTTAAATGCCCTAAGGATAAAATTATAAATTCGTTAGGTAAATAGTCGGGGCAACGCGCGACTGGC